AGCTGAGTGGACAGCGCTTGGGATTCGTAGTCCTAAGATTCCGGGTTCGATTCCTAGTGGAGGCGGAAACAAATAGACAGAGTTTCTTTCACCTTGATGTTCACCTAGCAGTAAATAGGTGCCATGGAGTTTAACAGCTGGTAGGGGCTGCTTCCTGGGGATGTGTAACAAAAAGGAGACCTGGTCGAAGACCGGGCCACGGGAACGCTAAGCCCCGAAATGATCTCAAGATAATGAATGTTTGTGTAAGAGTATGCAAGTTTATTTTTTTTATGTGTAAGTTGATATTTTTTTAAGAATGTTGTTATTTGGCTTTGTAATTTTTTATAATACCACAGTTCTTTGCATGAACAAACTTGTTCAAAGAAAGAAAGAGGGAGTGCAATATAAAAAAACTTAATTAAAAGGGCAAGATAGTGCCCCAGAGAAATTTACTGTGTCTGATAGGATGGACGTCGGGAACTGAACCCGGGGCTTGCATTCCTGTGTAAAAAAATGAAGGAGAAATAGAATGAGAGAAGAAAACGAGAAGAGATGAAGAAATATGGGATGGGGAAGAGAGAGAGTATTCCTTCAGAATCATTATCATATGCTGTTGAATATGACCGTAGAGATAAGATTAATGATTTTAACACGAATCTTTTGAATATTTTTTATGTTTTTCTTCACTATCGAGGGAAGTTGAAAAATTAACTCTCCAAAGTTCATTTTCACACTATATTTATGGTCTGACGCCTAGGGAAGCGTTTTGCAAGGCACTCCTTAAATTTTCAAAGACAAATTTTCCGTACGCTGCTAATGCTTATATTCGCTTTTGAATATAATAGCTTATGAATATAAGCTAATGCTTATATTCGCTTGGGGTGAGGTGAAACAGGACATGATTGATATGAGCAAGTGGATCAATGGCCTAATGGTATAATAGGTCATTGCGTGTTCTGTCTTCTTGCTTATATGTTAGTTTGGGGTCTTGAAGTGGATAGAATGCAATTATGTGTTAATTGGTTGTTGAACAGCCAATTAACATTAATGAACTTTGGAGAGTTAAATTTTCAACTTCCCACGACAGTGAAGAAAACATAAGAAATATCCAGAAGATTCGTCTTAGAATCATTAATCTTACCTTTACGGTCATATTTAACAACATATGTTTACAAGAAAGACTTCTACCAAAATATACCAATTATTTTCCTCTGAATTATTATTTCAGATAAGTAAAACTCAAGGTTTCTTTAAACTCTAATAACTAGAGGAAAAACAGATCTAATAGAACAATATATATTCAATTATGCCTAGTTTATGTTATTGTATTAAAGATTTTGTGGCACTGTAATTACGACTACCATCCGAGCCTGTTTCCTCAAAATACGTTTTTCACAAAATATATTAATTATTTATGTAATACTAAAAACAAACTATTATAATGGACAAATGTTCTTCATAATATTAAATGCAGTTTATATGGTATATATAATGTAAATATAAATCTGCCTCATATTTTACATATTATTTTAAATAAATATAGCTTTGCGACATCGTGATCGGCAGTCGGGTGGGGCTGGATGGAGAGTGAGAGGGGGCTGGCAGTTTTGTGTGGTGGAGTGAGAGGGGAGTAACTGATTAAAAGTTCCACCCAAGTTCTAGCTCGAGTTTATTCAAGTTCCAAGCAGTTTTTTATGAAATAAAGTTGCCTCGACAAGGACAAGATGATGGCGGCTTACCGGAGGTTCCTTCATTTGCCGTAGTGGTCTTTTCAGCTGCTTTTCTAAAGCCCAGCAAAGTTTTTTGGGGGCATTTCCGGCATCAGCGGGTAGGTAGTTCCATACAATTATCATTATTTTTATATTAATTTATCTGAGGGCTCCGGCTTGGTGCCTTCTTTTGTTAATTACTTACTTACCTGCCTGAGGACTCACGAATACTAGTGGCCTCGACGAGGATAGAAAGTCAGTGGCTTGTCCAAGGTTCCATTCATTTGCTCTGATGATCTTTTCCAGCTGTATTTTTAAAACCTTAGCTGTCAGAGTTCTGAAGTTTTATTACGGGTTTGGCCGGTTGGCTGTTCCATATAATCATTATTTTTATATTAATTTGCCTTAGGGCTCGCTAATAATAGTAGCCTCGGCGAGGGCAGGAAGCCGGCAGCTTGACCGAGGTTCCTCCATTGCCCTCATGATCTTTTGAGTGGTTTATCTAAAGCCTCAGCAGAGTTTTTTTTTTTTTTTTTGGCATATTCAGCTTCGGCAGGTAGGCGATTTCATGAGTTTATAAGGCCCTATTTCTTACTTATTACTTATACTATATTACTTATACTATCTTACTATATTACTTAAAACTTATTTCACACGTCTCCCCTCCCGCCCCCACAGAAATACTATTACTGAAATAATGATGATTATTATTTGTAGTTTCAGAGTTTTGGGGATATAGACAGTTTCAGAGATACATGCAGTTTCGCCAAATAGACTTAATGAGAGGTGCTAAATTAAATCATCCTCTCAATAGTATTTATAAGTTCATTGGGTCTCCCACCACAATACGACTACTGTGATGCAAAATTTACAGTAAAATGAGGAATATATACAGATCCCAAAAGTATATTGAACCGCTCAGAATAAAACACAACACTATATTAACTTTATATAGCATTACAATTGTTTAAAAGAGAGGTATGTCGTTTGCATTGCCTTACACAAAATGACTGAGGCTATTAATGTAAACAGCATGTTTGAATTTTAAAAATGTTTAACTATCCCCATATTTTGACATTTCACAACGAAGATTGCCATTGTATTCTTCGATATTAAAACACATTTATACCCAAAAATGTAAATATGATACGCTTGGAACTATAATAATACCGCTTTGCTATTTGTATTAAGGAAACAAAAACTTTACTGACTGCTATATTATACAACAAATGTTTATCGGAGTTAGCCCTATTAATCCCAGAATATTTGTTCTCATACTGGTCGTTTGTCGCTATATTTCGTCGGGGTCATGGCTCTCCTTCCGGGCTCTAACAATGAATTTTTTTGTTTACAATGATGTGATCCTAGCTTGGGAACGATTTCAATATGATAAACATTCTATGGTCGAATGAGTGATGGTTCATGCAACCCATTACTATTATCGACTCAGCTCAACCTTATTCAAGTCTTTGAATATGTTAGATATTAAGTCACTGCACATACTCTCATGTGTTCTCTTATATATTTATAACTCTGAACTGCAATGTCAATCCTGATCTTAAAAGTTTCCTAGAAGGTTGCAACAGAACCCATGGGCACCACACCAGAAACAAATATCTATTTGATATTACAAGAGTGTGACTTAATTAAGCAAATTAGAAATGCTCTTCAACGCAAGGGACACAGAATGTGGAATGACGTCCCTGATCATGTCAAAAGCTGTACCTCTCTCAACTAGTTTAAGAGTAGAACTAAGTACTACTTAATTAACTCCATGCAACCTACCTTACCCCCTAAATGTCAACCCTTGTCTTGCTATTCTAAACAATGCTGATTATTGACCTACTTGTACAAATGCTGTTTATTGCCATGTTCCCCTTTTTTATTTTTTTATTTCTTTTTTTAACACAATTTATACTTAACTCCCAATTACTATTAATTAAGTTTTAGTCTAAGTGTTTTTCCTCCACACCTTGGCCGAAACGCTATGTGTATTAGTGGCTTTAGTTATTGTATGTACCAGCTCTATCTATAAATCCAACAGAACGTTTGTAACTCTGCATCTATGTATGTACTTTTCCTAAATAAAATGTTTATTGTTTATTGTTTTATTAACTAAAAAGCTTTCAGCGAAAATGGGATCTTTAATAGTTACAGAATATGAGATTTCTGAGGGCTGACTTGGATACATATTTCCAATTTAATCCCCCCCCCCTCCAGACCCCCATCACAAATAAAATACCATTCTTAAGCTCATTTTATACTAAACCGAGTACTGAAAGCCAATTTACCATGAGGAATGCACTAAGGGTTTCATTTTAGTAATAGAACGTAAACTGGTGCCACTGATTCAGAATATATACCCGAGAATTGTCGATAGTACATAGCAAAGCCTTTACATTACATAAAGCTAGTACATTACATTTGTGCAAAGCCAATGTCATTCCCTTGGGATTTCACAGACCATTACAGAAAATGGAGCTCAGTGTAAGGACGATCTATACTATTCAGTTATGCTTCTCCCATCCTACGTGTCATTCTTCGTTTTTATTCAAATATGCATGCATTATCCACCCAAACACACATCCAACATACATACCTATTGAAACACAAATTTCACCATGCCAAACATGTTCTAACATATTGACCAAACCAAACACTAGAAAGTGAAGGGACGACGACGTTTTGGTCCGTCCCTTCACTTTCTAGTGTGTGGTTTGGTCAACATATTTCAGCTACGTTATTGTGACTCCTCGCCTGCATGTTCTAATATGTTAAACAAACCCCCAAAACACAACACGAGTCCAACTGGTGCCCTAACCTAACATGACAAAAGATTTGTTCACTTTTTGGAACGCCATGACTCTGTTTCACCACAAAAGTAGTCGCAGTAGACCGGATATAACTACCATGGGTGTCCCAGACCAACTGATCCACCCCCAAGGCAGACCCACGATAACTTCCATGGGAGTCCCAGACGAACAGGCCCACCACCTAGGTAGTCACAGTAGACCCACCATAACTATCGTGGTAGTCCCAGACCAACTGCTCCACCACAAAGGTATTCACAGTAGACCCGCCATAACTGCCATGGGAGTCCCACATCAAGTGCTTTAATTCTAATTATTAATTATGTTATTAGGAAACGGGACAGGAATAGACGACATTGTATTTTATTCAGGTTGTGTTCCGGATAGTAAGAACTGGTTGCTTTAATGAAACAACATTATACTGTGCAGTGTTCTCGTTCACTTGTGAGTGTTCAAGCAGGGGCTGAGCAGGTGGGGCAGGACTGGAGAAACAGTTAACTACGTTACAGTTAATGTTTATTAATAACCTCAACAATTATTAACAGAAATACTTGGAACGCTTGACGCATTTATTATAAACATTATCTTTTTATTTGTAAAGTTTTTGTTTTATATATGATTTTTCAAACTGCTCTCTTAACAGAATAGAACATATAGGTTATCACGATAATAGTGCTTGGGTACATATTCTAGATTTTTTTATATATCCAACAGTTCAGATTTTGTACTGAAATATATAGTTTAATGACTGAGCAGACACAATATCCAAGTCTATTCCAATGCTTGGACGCCCAGCTGGCACAGGAAGGGCCATATATCATAACAGACGTCGTTATATAATCGCACCCGCAAGACGAATTCACCAGTAGAACTCACGTAGGCGCAGTTCTCATCGTTGGCAATTGTTGGGTATCCGGCTTTCCAGTAATGACCCGTGAGGTCTACGGGGCGTCCATCCACCCACGACCAGTAGTCCTGGAGGTTCACTTTAGCAGCGCCAACCCAAAATGACTTCAGGCCTGAGGGAGAGAAGGTGTTGAGGGAAGAGCCACTGTCATGGAGGCTGGTAGTGTTACACAGTTTTCATGTGTTTAGAATACTTCATTGCAAATTTAATATGATTATTTAAACAGAGCAAAATCTTTGAAAAATAAAATGCCAGGGAGATGAAAATTAGACTCCAAATACATCTTAAATAATTGTAGGTGAAATTTATCGGAGAAGCATAGCATACATTCAGCAACATAAGTTTGGAATGGAAATAAAAATTATTATATTAAATCCTTGGATTATAGGTTAGACACAGTAACAGTGTGTGACTGTTACAACAAACACAATTGCAGTGTGAGAATTACAAAAGACCTATTGACCCATATGAGGCAGCTCTTATATATATCTACACAAACACATTCATATATGTATGTCGAACGCTGACTTCAAACAGCGATTATTACGATACCAAGCATTTTTTTTCATAATGAACAATCATGTTTACACTATCTTGTTTTGATATATTTATATCCTTATTGATATTCCCCTTGTTATACCCTTTCATCAATTTATATAGTTGAATCATTTCACCCCTTACAAATGGGTTAAGCCTTTCTAATTTCTCTTCATAAGGAAGGTTTCAATTTCCTGGAATTATTTTAGTCAACCTATTTTGTACACGTTCTAATGAATATATGATCATTCTATAGTGTGGCGACCACAACTGAACTGTATGACCTAAATGTTCAAGTAATTGCCATCAGAGGAGCCAGGCGGGGAGACTATGTAGCGAGGTAGACCTGAAGAGTTACATCAGGTTCTTGGCTTGGTTTAGTGTTGGACTTAAAGCCTGTCAACCTCTTTAGGGTTATTAAGGAAACCACTTAATACATTACAGATCTACCAATAAGTATACTTTAGTACTGTACACAGTCCAGGACTAAACTAAACTCTTAGTGTATATACGGTACACCCACAAATGGGGTACACTCTCAGGGTACATATCCTTGTTGATTAGATGTCTCACCGTACCTTGCTGGGCTCCACTGCCAGCCACTAACGGCAGGTCAAAACACCAAAAAGCTTTTTGATTTAGAAATAATGTCATTCTAACATATAAAACTAATAGTTCGTGAAAGAAAACAAGTAAGATTCAGCCTGCTTCTACCGAACTGTGTGACAAAAAAAACTGTACACGTAGGTGTTGTTGAACGTAATTATCGCAACGATGGGAATGCCACAGTAAACGGGTGTCTAAAGGAGAAAGCAAAATCACGAATGAATATAATGAGAGCAATTACAGGGCCCCGTCTAGGAGCGGGACTCAAAGTGTTAAAAATGTTTTACATACACTCCGTTCGTTCCCTAGTTGATTATGCAGCGCCTACCCTACTCACTCTTTCTCCTGGTTAGTGGGCAAACGTTGAAGTTATTCAAAATGATGCAATGCGAGTCATAACCGGAGCTCCCAGATGGACTAAAATACTGAATTAAGAATAGAAAGCAAACTAGCGTCGATTGAAATAAGGGTGAAAGGGATTGCTGCGTGCATGCTGACCAAGATATTGACTAGACCTAGATTCAGTTCACTTAAGATATTATCACTGGAGTACTAACTCGGGGCAGAAGAGCCTCCAATAGCAACAGGTGGACCCATTGTGCGATAAACACCATCAATACATTCGATATAACAAACACAGTCACTGAGAAGGGTGTCGACGAAATACATGTAGACTTTGTTATGCAAGCTCCTTGGAAATCTCCACCAGCAGAATTTAGGATTATGGTTCTTGAAGGAAAAAAGAACCGGACTAATCCTCATGTGCTACGTAATATTGCACAGATGCATATAGAAGGAAACTTGGCACCCGACAGCTTCACTTACTTCACAGATGGATCAGTAGACCAGCTGGGACAAGAAACCGGAGCTGCAGTTAAAACAGGAAACTTTGTAAATAGTTGGAGGCTATAAATGCGTGTTCGACTTTACAAACAGAGATGTTAGCCATTCAAAAGGCTTTGGAACATGCTCTTGCTGAACACCGACAACATGAACAAAATACACATATAATGTACCGACAATATGTTATCATACATACAGATTCGAGAACTACCATCGAAACTTTGCAACAAAAACACATTCGTGATAACATCCATCTGGTCACAAATGTCATATCATTAATGCAAACAATAAAACGTCAAGGCCGTCGGGTACTTATCAACTTGGTGCTAAGTCATGTGGGAATAATAGGAAATGACATTGCAGACGCAGCTGCAAAAACTTGCAACTAAGAGAAGAAATCTAGACATTTACATACCACAGAGTCTATCACAGATTAAAAAAGTAAATTGAAACAGAGCAATGCAAAAGATGTTCATTGATCACAAACCAGCAGTTGCAGCATCAGGATCTGCGGGTTGGTACAAGAATTCAACCAACTATGAATCACTTAGTTTGATGAAAGGGAGCAGTAGAACAACAGAAGTACACTTACATCGCATCAGGCTTGGATACCCATGTGCATGGGAAATAGGTTTACAGGTTCCGAAAGATGAGAGAAAAGGTCAGCACTGTGGAGAAATGCCCGACAGACCACTGGAACATTAATTAAGACAGTGCAAAGTTACAAACCCATTAAGATTTCAACTTAGATTCAACAGAGCAGAAGTTGTTAAACACATGGGACAAAATCTTACTGAAGCGACCATACGAGTCATAAATACTCATACTCCGCCCAAGTAAAACAGAAACGAGCAATACTTAGTGGGCCAGCCAGAGGCTTAGGGCCCACGCAGGAATATCCCTGCAAAAAAAAAAAGTGGGTGTCGTCAGTATAATGTGGGGCATAAGCGTTGTGCCGAGAGTTTATGTCTTATTGCTAACGCTTCAAGAAATTAGTTCCCAGAAGCATATTTGCCTCATTCCGAACATTAATGCATTCATTTTTTGCCTTTAGATCCCTACTAATCACGACTTCAAATCTTTATTTTAACATCGATCATCTGAGTAATGTAGGACCCTTCTGAGCACTCCTCGACCTCACTAAAACTACAGGATGAGGATGTTGCCCTCCTGTGTCAGGTGAGGTTAGTTTGGTTATATCTATACCTCAGCTTATTTTCTGGTCCCCCTTGGTTAGGCCCACGGGCGGGTTCACCTTGGCTACGCCCATGGGCGGGGGCCCACCCTAACTAGATGGTGTCTCAAGGATTTACCTCTTTTTCCATGCGATCATGGGTGGATCCTTAGAAAATTTTGGTCACGAGTGGTCTACAGCAAACCAACACCTCTCCCATCACCATCACCACAGTCAACTACTATCACCAGCACCACAAACAATCACAACACAGTAACTCTACATCAGCATTACTCCCACTAACACCACCACAACACACACACGGACATTCCAATAAACCCATTATCAATACAATCACTACAAGCATTGTGCCACCGTAACAACAACAGTAGAACTACCGTTGGAGATGGCGTAGGATTCTATTTTCAGGAAGTCGTCGCAGTAAGTGTCCATGACGACCAGGTCGGCGTCTTCCTCCGGCAAGAGGTTTTTGCAGGTCGCTCGTGCCTCTTGCCACGTCATGAAGGTCTCACTGTAGTAGTAGCAGCCCTCCCCGATCATGAAGAAGGGCGCTGGGCAGGCGTCAGCACCTTCACCTGCACCCACAGTAATAAAACTGGATTCTAACTCAATGCTTAAAATAATTATTGCTTTCCGTGATACCTTGTCAACTTGATTTTACATGCATTATTATCATATTTATTGAGTAGTAAAGACCCAGTTGCAGTTTAATGTAATATTACGTCATTATAATTGTGAAGATGCATGTTGTATTATTCAATCATTGTATTCCATTTATACCAACGGTTGGTGGTCAGGGATGTGGCCAGCAGTTTTGGACAGGTCCAGTTCTTGCCCGCATGGTGAGAGCGGCAGCTGTGGCCCAGGCCGACCAACAATTGCTGATATTGTAGTTCATTTGCATTTTTCTTTAGCATTATTAATGCTAGATGCTTTTTGACCCATATTCTTGCATAATTTGTTATTTTATTATCATAAATAATGGCAGTGTTGGCCAGAGTGGGGAGATGGTAATATTGTTATATGAATATGACGGGTTGGCTGGCATGTGAGGGAGGTTCCTGGTTGAGTTAAGTTTCTTTGAGACTGGAACGATAGAATTGTCATCTGCCTGGACCAGTACTTGTGTGCTGTTTAGAGATACAATTATGAACAAATTCTGTCTGAATATATAGTTGTGTTAAAATTATTTAGGAGTGCGCCAACCCGTCATATTTCTTTAACAATATTTACCATCTTGCCATTAATTATATTAATGAAAAACAAATCAATGTAAGGAAAACCATCTAACATTAAGCTGCACACGACACTAGAAGAGAAAGTAGTGTTTGATGAGGCCAGAAACCAGGATCACTGGCACGACATGGTGGCCTCAAGTGGGTGTCAACACTAGTTTACTCTGACACTCTTACCGGCATCCATCTGTGTCAGGAGGCTGATGACCAGCACCACCGCTGCAAACATGGTGACGTTATGTGGTGGTGACCTCATGTGATGGTGAACTCGGGTGGTGGTGATGACCTCAGGTGGTGATGACCTCGGTCAGTAGAGGCCGGTGGATGTTGCCTCGGACGAGGGTCTCGGCACAGTGTTGTGGGTGTGTAAGACTGACTATCAGGAAGCGACGCCTGTCGACGTATCTGGGTCTCGTACGAGTGGCTGGCTGTCCCTTAACTACACGAGAGAGCCAGTTTTATTGTTATCTTGGTGGTGGTGATCTTGCGTCACCCGCTGCTGCCTGGGAACTGGCACCACCTGCTGCTGCCTGGGAACTGATAGCACCCGCTGCGGCCTGAGAACTTGTAGCTCCCGCTGCTGCCTGGGAACTCTCCAGTTGGGGCTTCACAAAATTGCCAATTGCAGCTTTCCAAACTGTTGTTCATTTCTCACAAGAAATAAAGTTTCATCAATTTATTTTTTGTTCGGGAATATCACAAAAAAAATCTTGCAATAGCTTTTATCAATTTTGTTTAATCCTTTTAAAGACTTCGTTACCAAACCATACCTTAGTACCTCGTGGTGCATTAACTTGATGCTTTAAAGTGAAATCTAACACTTATTACTAACTTATATTACTATTATTATAACATACAAAGAAATAAATAATCCAAACCTAAGACTTGAAACGGAAGTGGCAACATTTCGGTTCGTCCTCGACCCTTGTCACTCCTGGGGAAAAAATGCTTTTATTGCACTTATTGAATTGACCAGAATTTACCTGAGGGCTTCCATCTCTCTAGTGGTCTCGACAGGGAGAGGAAGTCGTTGGCTTGTCAAAGGTTTCCTTATTATTCCTGAGGAGTTTTTCTAAATAGATTTTGAAATGAAATCATGTTTGGGCATGTACGGCTTCGGCGGGTAGGCGATTCCTTGGGTATCTCTCTCTGTATCTATAAAATATAATATTTATCTGTCTGTCTGTCCTAGGGTGGAGGCCAGACGGTTGTGGATAGCTTCACCCACCTTATTATTGTGAATTCTGACTGTTTGGAGAGTGGTCATGATCCACGCCCCCCCCCCCCCCCGTGGTCTTCTTGAAGAAGGATTTGCCTCCCGTTGCGACAACTCATGCAACCCGTCCTCTTACATATTACATTGCTTTTCGCTCGCATGCGCACTAAGGCTAAAAACCGCAGTACTTGAAAATTAAAGCAGCTCGCGAAAGTTTCGTACTGTCCCATTTTCTGTTTTGGGTCCTCTGTCCTAGTCTGTTAGGTTAGGTGAGGACACTTTAAATTTAAGGTTTTAATGAGGTTCTGAAACCTTAGGAGAAAGTCCTGTCCCTCTTAACGGCAATGTTGACTCCGGTGGTGCTTGCGGAGGAGACCCTCGCGGCATTGACGACGACAACAATAACGGCTCAAACTGTAGAGACCGAAGTTATGGAGGTGTCGGCGGTGACGAGTACGACGACGACGACGACTAAAGCGGTGGGGTCACAAACGGTAGCACCGACTGCAACGGTGACGACGATGACCGCGCGTTGTCCTGCCCAGGACTGGAGGAATGACTGGGAACAGTCTGTGTCCGAGGCACGTTTTACTAGGCTATCCACGCAAGGTCGACGCCGGTGGACGGCCCCGTGTGGGAAAAGGACCAAAAGTGTTACTAAAAGCACGAGACTTTCCCTCAACCATCGATCTCGGGTTATGTGCCACCATCCGGAAGTAACAACCCACCTCCTCCAGCACTCGTCCCCTGGGGAGCCGTTTACCAAATTAGCAAGAGCGATGAGGCGGCTGTGAAGCTGGCCCTTGCCAAATTGACGACCACAAGCAGTGGACTGCCTCTGGTAAAGAAGACGTCGTCAGGGGCAAAAAAATACTTTTGGAGAACCCGAAACATGTGGTAGAGAATATTGGGACAACATCCCAACTATGTACAGAGGACCTGCTGTCATCGCAGACGTTAAACTTGGCGGTGGCGCTCATTAGTAATAACGACTCCGAGGGTCTGGCAGAGTTAGCAGGCGCTGCAGTGAGTATGTTTACGACCCAGTTTGGACCTGTTGAGGGGTTCACATCACCAACGAAGTCGTACACCGAGGTGGCCGACATATTCGAGTGTGGACAGCGGCTTTATGACGAGCTGGACTTTGTGAGGCCCACTCCTACGGCAGACTTGGGAATACCCATTGTGAATGAAACATAATTATCAGCAAGAGTCAGCCGAAAAATAAACTTCCCCCAAACATGATTTTGTAGCCTATATATTATTATCATTATTGTAGTTTTTAACATACTAAATAAACAATTAAAATTAAAAATGTTTTTAATTTGACCAGTAGAAACGTGGATAATTTTTTTTCTGTATATGTTTGTATATAAGCAAGTGTATGTGAAATGAGCATTTTTGTGTAAGTTTTGTATGCATTTTTTCAATGTGTTTATGGGATCTGACACCTGAGTGGACAGCGCTTGGGATTGCGCTGTCCTCGTCCTAAGAACCTCGTCCATTAGAACCTCGTCCTAAGGTTCTGGGTTCGATTCCCAGTGGAGGCGGAAACAAATGGACAGAGTTTCTTTCACGCAGATGCACCCGTTCATCTAGCAGTAAATAGGTGTCATGGAGTTTAACAGCTGGTAGGGGGGCTGCTTCCTGGGGAATGTGTAATAAAAAGGAGGCCTGGTCGATAATGTATGTTTGTGTATGAGTATGTTGTGTAAGAGTATGCATGTTTATGCTTTTTATGTGTAAGTTGATGTTTTTTTTAAGAATGTGTTTATTTTGTTTTGTAATTTTTTTAAATACCACAGTTCTTTGCATGAGCAAACTTGTTCAAAGAAAGAGAGAGGGAGTGCAATATAAAAAACTTAAAAGGGCAAGATACTGCCTCAGTTAGAGAAATTTACTGTGCTTGATAGACTGGACGTAGGGAACTGAACCCGGGGCTTGCATTCCTGTGTAAAAAATGAAGGAGAAATAGAATGAGAGAAGAAAACAGGAAGAGATGAAGAAATATGGGATGGGGAAGAGAAAGAGTATTCCTTCAGAATTATTATCCTATGTTGTTGAATATGACCGTAAAGGTAAGATTAATGACCCTAACACGAATCTCCTGAATATTTTTTATGTTTTTCTCACTGTCGAGGGAAGTTGAAAAATTAACTCGCCAAAGTTCATTTTCACTATATATTTAATGGTCTGACGCCTAGCGAAGCATTTTGCAAGGCGCTCCTTATATTTTCAAAGACAAATTTTCCGATTGATTGATGAAGATTAAGCCACCCGAAAGGTGGCACGGGCATGAATTGCTCGTAAGTGGTGGCCCTTTTGAGCCATTACCAGTATCAAGAGCTGATACTGGAGATCTGTGGAGGTGCGAATGCACCCTGCATGACGGAAGATGTCTCCTTTGTGAATGTGTTAAGATGAAGCCACCCAAAAGGTGGCACGGGCATGAATAGCTCGTAAGTGGTGGCCCTTTTGAGCCATCACCAGTATCAATAGATGATACTGGAGATCTGTGGAGGTGCAACTGCACCCTGCGTGACGGAAGATGTCTTCCGTGATTTAAACAGTTTGATTGATTGATTGATTGATTGATGAAGATTAAGCCACCCAAAAGGTGGCACGGGCATGAATAGCCCGCAAGTGATGGCCCTTTTGAGCCATTTATCAGTATCAAGAGATGATACTGGAGATCTGTGGAGGTGCAACTGCACCCTGCGTGACGGGAGATGTCTCCCGTGGACAATTTAGATTGATTGATGAAGATTAAGCCACCCAAAAGGTGGCACGGGCATGAATAGCCCGTAAAAACAGAAAAACAGATTGAATTGATTGATGAAGATTAAGCCACCCAAGAGGTGGCACGGGTATGAATAGCCTGTAAGTGGCGGCCCTTTTCAGCCACCACTTACAGGCTGAAAAACATTACCAGAATCAAGAGCTGATACTGCTTAAGAGATCTGTGGAGGCGCAACTGCTCCCTGCGTGACGGGAGATGTCTCCCGGACCAAGTGGTGACCAGATGGTGACAAATTTTCCATACTCTGCTAATGTTTATATTCGCTTGGAGTGAGGTGATACAGGACATGATTGATATGAACAAGTGGATCAATAGCACAATGGGTATAATAGGGCATTGCGTGTTCTATCTTCTTCGTGTGTGTCACGGGAGACATCTCCCGTCACGCAGGGTGCAGTCGCACCTCCACAGATATCCCGTATCATCTATTGATACTGGTAATGGCTCAAATGGGCCACCACTTTCGGGCTATTCATGCCCGTGCCACCTTTTGGGTGGCTTAATCTTCATCAATCAATATATCTTCTTGCTTCTGTGTTGGTTCGAGGTCTTGAAGTGTGTAAAATGTAATTATGTGTTAATTTGCTGTTGAACAGCCAATTAATAATTAACATTAATGAACTTTGGAGAGTTAATTTTTCAACTTCCCTCGACAGTGAAGAAAAACATAGGAAATATTCAAAGGATTCGTGTTAGAATCATTAATCTTACCTTTACGGTCATATTTAACAACATATGTTTACAAGAAAGATTTCTACCAAAATATACCAATTATTTTCCTCTGAATTATTATCTCAGAAAAATAAAACTCAAGGTTTTTTAAACTTTAATAACTAGAAGAAAAACAATCTAATAGAACAATATAAACAATATATGTTCAGTTATGCCTAGTTTATGTTAATGTATTAAAGATTTTGTGGCACTGTAATTACGACTACCATCCGAGCCTGTTTCCTCAAAATACGTTTTTCACAAAATATATTAAGTATTTATGTAATAATAAAAGCAACTATTATAATGGACAGATGTTCTTCATAATATTAAATGCAGTTTATATGGTATATATAATGTAAATATAAATCTGCCTCATATTTTACATATTATTTTAAATAAATATAGCTTTGTGAGATCGTGATCGGCAGTCGGGTGGGGCTGGATGGAGAGTGAGAGGGGGCTGGCAGTTTTGTGTGGCGGAGTGAGAGGGGAGTAACTGATTAAAAGTTCTACCCAAGTTCTAGCACGAGTTTATTCAAGTTCCAAGCAGTTTTTTTTATGAAATAAAGTGGCCTCGACAAAGACAAGAAGATGGCGGCTTCCCGGAGGTTTCTTTATTTGCCCTAATGATCTTTTCAGCTGCTTTTCTAAAGCCCAGCAAAGTTTTTTTGGGCATTTCCGGCATCAGCAGGTAAACGGTTCCATACAATTATCATTATTTTATATTAATTTGTCTGAGGGCTCCGGCTTGGTGCCTTCTTTTGTTAATTACTTACTTACCT